GACCCAGTGGTTTAAACTCACACTGGGCGCGTGTGCGTGCATGCCCAAGATCCTGAGAGGAGAATAGAGGAGAAGGGATTGTGGTGTGACCATCCCCCCTCGGGGGTGATTTCTCACTTTCTGTCTCTCTGTCTCTCTGTCTGTCTGGTGAGCTCACGCGCCCTATAGCAAAAACCTCTCCAAAAAAAAAAAAGTTTGCTATAGGGTGCTTGCTAGAGAGAGAGAGAGAGAAGGAGAGAGAGAGAAGAGAGAGACATCATTCCAGTGGAAATGCCATGCTGCAATCCCTTCTCCTTTGTTCTCCTCCTGGCACGCACACACACACATGCCAGGATCGATTTTCTTTTCTTTCTTTCTGGTTTTTTTTTTTTTTTTTTGCTATAGGGCGCTTGTGCTCACCAGAAAGACAGAGAGAGACAGAGAGACAGAAAACGAGAAATCAGCCCCCAGGGAGGATGGCCACACCACAATTCCTTCTCCTCTATTCTCCTCTTGGGATCTTGGGCACGCACACACACGTGCCTGGAGTGAGTTTAAGTCACAGAGTCCAGGACTCAAACCACAATCGACCACATGGAAGTCCAGCAACATAGCCATTATGACAACTGCTGGCCCCTTCTTTCCTTTTTTTTTTTTTTTAAATAAGAGGATTTTGCCAGGACTAGCAGATGGCATAGCAGTTATATCGCTGGACTCCCACATGGTTGACCCCAGTTTGAGTCTCAGAACCGGTGGCTTCAAAATCCTGGGAGAAGAATGAAGAAGAGATTGTGGTGTGCCCAGCCCCCGCACTTCCTTGGGGGTGATTTTTCACTTTGCCTCTAATTTTCTTTGTCTTTTGCATTAGGGTGTGCTTGTGCATGTGCTTGCCAGAGAGGGAGTGAGAAAGAATGTGAGAAATCTCCCCCTCCGCTGTGGGATGGCCATGCTGTAATCCCTTCTCCATTCTCCTCCCAGGATCTTGGGCACGCACACACACACATACGTGCCCAGTGTGAGTTTTTCTTTTTCTTTTTCTTTTTAAAATTTATTTTAATTTGAACAGAGAGAGACAGACTGAGAGAGAGAGAGAGAGGGAAAGTAGGAAAGCATTCTGCCATGTCTAAGACGTGAACCATGATTGGCCACATGGGGGTCCAACGTCCCAACCACCACGTCACCTGCCAGCCCCATGTGTGAGTTTTAAGCCACTGGTCCACCACCCAAATAGCAGTTGGTCATGTGGAAGTCCAGTGCTGTAACCACTACAGTATCTGCTGGCCCCGCCTAGCATGTTTTTCAAGCCACTGGGTCCAGGACTCGAACTGCTCTGTTGGTTATGTGGGATCCAGTCGCCTCAACCTCCACACCATGTGCTGGCCTCCTGTGTCTATTTTATATACCGTGGTACCCCTGGTGTTAAGTACACTGCCTTACTTACCTATCATGACAGAGTTGCTCTCCTTGACCAAATTCTTGCATGGTTCCTAGCAACTTACAGTCAAGTACCTCGAATAACCCCGGGAGGCTTTAAAATACCTGCGGGAGAAAGCTCAACACTACCAGGAGAACCATTTGTTCCAGTGGAAATTTGGTGATACGCAGACAGTTCCCTGAACCCTCTCTTAGAGCTGGTACTTTTGAAAGCTTGCAATTATAAATCCTTGCTTTGTCCCTTTGAGATATAACTCTCCTACAACCCCAAACTGTTTTCTCAAGGATCTCCAAGCTTTCTCTTCGAAATGCAAACATTTAAGCAGATAAAATAGCTCTCATTTTCACTTCCATTCCCTGTGGGTGCCTTGCTCAAATTTATGCCACTGCCTGTCATAAAGATAAGAGAGTTATAGATATGTATATTCCTCAGAAAGCTACAAATAGAACTACCATATGACCCAGTAATTTCACTCTAAGGTATTTACCCAGAAGGTAGAAAATCCCTCAGCCAGAGAAACACTTGTACATCCATGTTTATTGCAGCATTATTTACAATCACTAGGATATGGAATCAACCCAGATGTCCAAATATAGATGATTAGATTGAAAAAAAGTGGCATATGTTATATGTGGAATACCACTCAGTCATAAAAAAACCAATGAGACCCTGACATTTGATACAAAGTGGACGAATATGGAAGACTTAATGCTAAGCGAAGCAAGCCAGACTATGGAAGACATGCTTTGTATGCCCCACTCAATATATACCCAATGCCTGCGCTATAGAGCAGAAACTGAAAGTTTGGAAGGTACAGAAGCAGGGAGGGCAACTGTAGATACTAGAGAAAGTAAGGATAGCAATAATATGGGGTGGGTAATACAGAGGAAAGAGGGGAACAGGGGAAGAAAGAAAATGTTGAATTGACCAAAAAATGAAGTTATTTGCTGATGATAACGTATTTAGTACTTTATCTTGACTGATATGCGTGGTATTTGTGTTGGAAAAAGCAATGTTGTACACTGTAAAGATAAATGTAATCAGGACCAGCAGTTAGCATAATGGCTATGTCACTGGACTCCCATGTAGTGGACTGCAGTTCGCATCCTGGACCCGGTGGCTTAAAACTCATGCTGGGCGCGTGTGCGTGCATGCCCAAGATCCCAAGAGGAGAATGGAGGAGAAGGGATTGTGGCATGGTCATCCCCCCTGAGGGGTGATTTCTCGCTTTCTGTCTCTCTGTCTCTCTCTGTCTGTCTGGCAAGTTCATGTGCCTTAGCAAAAACCTCTCCAAAAAAAAAAAAAGAAAAAGATAAACGTGATTAAATGTAAAATAAAATAAAACTTTTTAAAAAATAAAAAGGAGAATTATGTGTCTCCTCTGGATGAGCACCAATTAACAAACCCAACAGTCCAGTCACATGAACCAACCCTCTTCACAGCAGTTTCTTTATACATCCCATCTTTTCAAAAGTCTCCAGTCTGGGGGCCAGCAGGTGGTGTGGTGTTGGGGTGCTGGACTCCCACATGGGCGACCGTGATTCAGGTCCTAGACCTGGCGGCTTGCTTTCTCACTTTCCTTATCTCTCTCCCTCTGTCTCTGGTCAAGTTTTAAATTGATAATAATAATAAACAAATAAAATCAAGTAATTTTTAAAAAAAGTATCCAATCTGGGCTGGCAGGCGGAATGGTGGTTAAGGCAACTTGATCCCACATAGCTGACAGCATGGTCCGAGTCTCAACCTGGAGGCTTGAAAAACATGCCAGGTGCATGTACGTGTGCATGCTCAAAATCCCAGGAGGAGAATGGAGAAGGGATTATGGGATGGCTACTCCCCCTGTGGTGGGGTGCTTTCTCACTTTCTCTTTCTGTCCCTAGCAAGCGCACATGCACTCTAGCAAAAATTTCTAAAAACTATCCAACTTTTTGTTTCAGCAAAGTTGAATTCAGTTCACATTGGACTTTTCCCCTATTGCAATAGTTATTTTTAAATAATTAAGTTTATTTATTATTGTTATTATTATTATTGGAGAGGTTTTTGCTATAGGGCACTTGCGCTCACCAGAAAGACAGAGAAAGAGAGACAGAAAGTGAGAGATGACCCCCCCCCCAGGGGGGATGGCCACGCCACAATCTATTTTCCTCCATTCTCCTCTCGGGATATTGGGCACGCACACACATGCACCCTACATGGGTTTAAGCCACCGGGTCTGGGACTCAAACCATGGTTGACTACATGGGAGTCCAGCGACATAGCCATTACGCCAACTGCTGGTCCCTTTATTATAATTCTTCAATTTGACAAGAGAAAGTCAGAGAGAGAGGGAGAGTGAGAAGGCAAGCCACCAGGTCCAGGACTCAAACCATAGTCAGCCATCTGGGAGTCCAACATCTTAACTACCACACCACCTATTGGCCCTGCCTATTACAATAGTTGTTACTAACTAAAACTTATCATTTTTTTTTTTTAAGAATTATTTTAAGTTTGTTTGTTTGTTTATTTTAATTTGACCACAGAGGGTCAGATGGAGAGAGAGATAGAGGGAAAGTGAGAAAGCAAGCTGCCAGGTCCAGGACTCTAACTGTAGTCAACCATGTGTGAGTCCAGTGCCCCTAACTACCACGCCACCTGCCAGCCCCCTAAAACTTATCTTACTGCTTTAACTAGTTACAGATTTTTAAATCTTTCACATTAGTTATTAATGAATAAACTTAGGTTCTTATATAGGTGTAAACAAAGGAGTTTTATCTCTAGGCTTTTTGATGAATTTCATCTTCTTCCACACTCTAAGGACCTAAAAGACTACTATCCACAGATCATTTGGGACTGAGTTAATCAGATTAATGGGGTTACATAGAAAACTGTTTAAGAAGTCACATCCCTGGGGCTAGCAGATGGCACAGTGGTTATGTCGCTGGACTCTCACATAAGAACTGCGGTTCAAGTCCTGGACCCCATGGCTTGAAACTCATGCCAGGTACGAGTGCATGTGTGCCCAAGATCCCCAAAAGGAGAATGGAGAAGGGATTATGGAGTGGTCATCCCTCCTGGGGGATGATTTCTCACTTTCCCTTTCACTGTCTTTCTACCCCTAGCGCACACATCCTAAGGCAAAAATCTCTACCAAAAAAAAAAGTCACATCACTAAAATTCAATTCCCTGTTTCCTCTTTTAAACATATTTTCCCCCCTATCGCTTAAAAATCTAAAAAAATTTTACTATTCTCTTTCTGAACCAGTTCAGCACAGTCCAGAAAGACAAGAGGGTGCTAGAACAGGTGAATTTGTTTTGGCCTTCGGTACGGACTGCCCACACAGTCTCTTCCTCCCCCTCTTTCTCCTCTGATACCAATCTCTGCGGGTTTAAATCTTTGCTAGTTAACTAAACCAGTCCGCTGGCCTCATAGGGAGCTCAGCGAGCACCCAGCAATCCGACTTTCAGCATCAATTCATGCCTAGATCCACCAGGGGCAGCAGTCACGCCCCCATGCTCCGGCCTCAAACTCCGCCCTCCGCGTCCTGCGCGGCTTGCGCAGCGTCCGAGGATGTCACGTACGAGGCTCGGGCGTGAGGTTGGGGCCGCCATGTTGTTTTCTGGCGGCCCTTGTCAAGGAAAGGAAGAACGGGCCAGCGCCGCGCATTCCAGACCGTTTGCGCAAGTGCGGAAGTGCGCTGGCCAGCGGGTGATCGGG